TTTTTAAATTGTCTAAAACCTTTTGATGGTTTATTGTTAAACGAATGAAACCTTAAAAGGTTCTGAATCTATGCTAGAACCTTAGATAGTTCCTTATAACCCGGTTTTTTTTTACAGAGTACTTTGATTGACTTCCACTTGGATGTGTCTGATAATGCTATATTTCCGTTCTTGATGTTGTTTGCTTGGCGTGTTACTTGATCATGAAATGGTAGTGTGCCAGCAGTTTGAGAGTAGCCTTCATTTTCTAAAAATTCGGCGAATAAATCTGCTTCCTCCTTGTCTGACGTTGCTGTTTTGTTGTCGTATTCCATGATGTTAGCATATGCTTGCTTAATCCGCTTGTTATGAAACTTGCGCACAGGTAGCCATACTTTGTCCGAATACATTTTCTTATGGCATAGAGAAGACATTAGCGTCTTAAAGTTGTTTCTTCTGTCATTTTGAAGTGAATTGATGAGTAGTACTCTTACGTTGCAATACAGACGTTTGTCGATGTCGTTACCAGACTTCTTCCACTTTCAATATGCTTGATGTTGTTTTACTATCAGACTTTTCGTTGTTTCACTTGGTGAAAATGTTGCATTCGCCTGTTTAACTTGCGGAATGGCTTCTTGCGTTGCTACTAGAATGCTGTTAGTCACGAGGACTGTATTCTTCTATATCTAATGCTGATTGGATTTGACGATTGTCATTCTATAGCATCAGTTGTTAGTCTAGCTTGTTTCTGAGTTTTCACCAGTTTGCTGTTTTGGAATTAATAGATATTCTTGAAGACTTTGGTTTTGATTCGGTCCCAATTGGAATATCGAAGGTCGATGGTTTGTGCCCGATAAGCATACCCATGGCCGGATAGGTTTCAACATTTTCTATGGATGATAGGAGTGGTTGACTTGTAGAATCCAGTCTAGCTTGTCTTCATAATCGTTCTTTTCAAAGGTTGCACTGTTGTCATTGACACAATCTATATAACCTTCTTGAACTCATTTTTGCAGCCGTTTCCTTGTGCATTCGTTTTCTTGACCCTTTGAACTGTCGTGTTGCATTGAAGTCACCTACTATTGTACGGTTGTTGTTGGTGTCGTAAATTTCATGTATAAATTTGGTATCTATCTTTGCTTTTGGTGGTGCATTAATGGAGGATATTAGTATTGAATTGAATGTTTTAGTTTCAATCTGGACTGGTATCGCTTCATTTTGACGATGTTTTATGTAATATTTCTCGACATTTTATGCGTTGTTTAACTGCTGATAGCACTCCACCACTTCATTTTCCTACTCAGTCATTCCTGAAAAAGTTGTAACCCGTCATAGTGATCGATCGTTCACTATTTAGGTCAGTTTCATCCACAGAGATAACGCCATAGCTGGAGAATCGAGCTAGGAGTTCGTCTTTGTGTTTTGTAATGGAGTTGATGTTAATATGGCAGAGGTTGATCATTGTCATCGCTTATCTTCATATTTTTGTTGGAATATGCTGTCGAGTCGTTCGAAGTGTTTGCTGGGTAGGTTCTCGTTTGTGTCGTAGATTCTTGTTTCTTCTTTTTTTCGCCTTGTGATGTTGTGGCTTGACTTGTGTCGTTTGTTTGTTTGGAAGTGGTTTTGTTTACTGTTTCCTCATGGTTTGTGTTCGAGTCGGCGATAGCGTCTGTCTTATCTTGCTTCTTTTGGGGCTTTGAGGTCAAGTGTTGCTTTCATCCGTGTGATGTTTTGTAGTAGTATCTTGAATAGTCGGGTTGTGATTTCTTCGATAATCATTTCCATTTTGCTACGTGATAAATTGATGATTGCATAAAAAAGCTCGTGGTTAAGAAAACCTTGTCGGCGTTGTGAAAGAGTCGATAGTGATGGAACTTCGTTGAGAATGTGTATTGCTGGCGCTGTTGTAGTTTGTTTGGTTGGATCTGCATATTGGTTAATCGAATTCAGCATTCTCTTCTCTTGTTCTATATAATAAGAACATTCTTTGGAAGTGGGTAAATGATTACCTTTGCAGTTTGGGCATTTGACTGCACCACTCACTGCTTTGCTTTGCAGTACTTCGCTACATGGTTGTATTTTGAAAGTGTATGATTGCATCAGCTTTGAGTTTTGTACTGTTGGTCCTGCTGTGAAATGCATGCAATTCACTTGCATGCCAGTATGGACAAACGTGTTTCGTCGTTGTGCACCGCTGAATGTTATCTTCACCATTCTGGTTGGGGTCTTTCCAACTTTACGCGCTAAACGAATAAGATTCGTTACATCTAAACCGACAGTTTTTAATACTTCGGATATTCTATCAGCAGGTATTTCAAGATCGACTCTTTTGACGAAAGACACTTTTTCGGTGTCTGCAATTCGTTGAATCGAACGTGGGACAAATATTTTGGCTGATGCTTGCCCGCTGCTTGTCAAGATAGATGTTAATTGCGTTAACAGTCGGTTGAATTATTTAAGATCTGCTGAATACAGTGTGAAAATTCCTGTTCGGCTCATTTGGATGTTGATTATTCGAACATCGTTTAAGTGCTGTTCCGAGATATTATTCAGTTGAAGTTTGTTGACTTTAACTCCCTAAAAACTCCGAGGTGCAATGTTGAATTTTGGTTGGGCTGCTGTGCTTTGTTGTCGGCGCTTTTATTTCTCCTCGTCCCGTTTGCATCAGTACCGCCTCCCGCTTTTGGAGGCATTTCCAAAGTTGATCCACTTACCTTTATTGAAAACTAGGCACTTGTCGTGTTTGGATCAAGTAAACTTCGAGAGCAAAGGATTCCGAGTGTTCGAGGATTTTGGGTTCGGAATAGAAATTCGAAGTTGGAGAGAGAATATATATGACGTATAGCCTGTTTTAACCGTATCAAACGAAATCGATGCGACCGATCACTACCACGTCGTAAGGAGGAATGAATTTAAATAGATATTGAATTGGTAAGGATACATAGCCGAATCAATCAAATCTGTTTTCAAGAAATAATTAGTTTTGAATTCTCAAATCGTGTGTATTCAAATATGAATCTCGATTGAATCCTAACGACTATGCTTAATAGTCAATTTCAATTATAAATTAAAGAGTCTTGATCGGACCTTACCGGTTTCCTTTCAGGACCAAACTCCTAAATCGCGAAAATTCGTTCTTGTCATGATCGTGACAAGATCTTGAGAAATACAAAAAGTATTTTAATGATAATTCTGATTACAAAACTGGCCAGGGCCGTACTAAAAACTTAACAAGAGTTTCTCGCATGTATTTTTCTTGAAGAGATTCGGACAAAGTCTGAGCAAGATCGTATAAGCTTGTGAGCTATCATTTTCTACTTCTTAGATAGCTGCTTTCTAAAGGAATCGGTCGGGATTTCGATCAGTTCTTGTCCATATCTTGATTGGTACTATCCAAAGTACCCTAAAAGGGATTCATTCAATGAATCTTGATAGTTTCTCGACAGAATCTTGCTACAGGACCTTTTCAACATTTTTTCGAAAATCTGGATAGGATCCGATGCGAACCTGGACAGAGTTATGATTTGTCAATCAAAATTTTGATCTGCCAACGAACGGTGAAAACTCTTGAACATGATTCTGTTTGATCCTCAATTATCCTGTAATGAGGATCCTAGAAGGATTAGGTCAATATCCTAATCAAAACTTGCCAAGAGCTTACATAAGGATCTTGCCAGGAAATCAAATAAGATCCTCAGTTAAGCCTGACAACATTCTACAAGTTGAGGATCCTGGAACATTCGTGCAGGAATTCTAAAAGAATAACCAGGATTAAGACTACAGCAACTAATACTATTCTTAATGGTTCTATTGTAGGACCTGCATCATTCGCTCAAACTCGACTGTACTTGGATGAACGTGTTCGTTTCAGTAGTGCTACTAGCGCTGTAGCGACCTATCACATTCCTTTGGTCTATGAAATCGTTGAAATGCCTCTCTCACTCAACAGATTAAAACGAGCTCTCCATGCCATCATTCACAAGCACAAAACACTTCGCACACGACTCGTGTACGATGAAAACGAGGGTGTTCTTCAACAAGAGATTCTTCCATCCATACCACTGGAAATACACTTAACATCAGTTGATAATGGCAAAGCTCTTGAAAAGATTCTGTATGATGAAGAAACAAATCCTGTTCTATTTAGTGTAAGTGAAGGTCGTGTTTTTCGATGTCATGCTATTCGACGATCTGTGGCAACCGATGAAGACTTTCTCAATCCATCGGATATTCTTATCTTTAACTTTCATCATACAGCATTTGATGGAACATCAATTGATATCTTCTTTGACGATTTACAGAAAGCTTATTCGACCGATCAATCTCTTTCGCCATGCAGATTCGATTATATCGACTACTCTGTGCACGAGAAAAAGATAAACATGGATGATGCGAGAGCTTACTGGAAACAACATTTGAATGGCTTCATCAAACCTCATCTTCAGTTACCCTACGATCACCATCCAGATGAGAGTAACATTCGATCAGGTCGTGGTTCGACTGCAATTTTTGGACTCTCTCCACATATTGTTGATGACATCCTGAATTATCTGACGAACTGTGAAACGACTCTTTTTCAGTTTGGTCTAGCTGCCTTCTACGCATTTTTGTTTAAACTAACTCAAGAAACGGACTTGTGTATTCTCACAGTATCAGCAAATCGAAATCGAGCGGAACTAGAAAATATGATTGGTTTTTTTGTTAACACAGTACCACAACGACTTGCTATCGAACCGCAGAAGAACTTTGGATTCCTCATTGAATGCGTAAAAGAACTCGTTGTCGCTTCAATGCCTCATGCACATCTGCCCTATCAAGATATTGTTGCAGGTACGACTACTACAGCTTTACAAATATTATTTGTTGTTGAAATTCAACATCACGATCGAGTTGCATTAAGCTCCAACGTAATTCTACGTCCTCTCGTAACTACGACTACTGATCCACAAAGTGTAGCTAAATTCGATCTTACATGTTCATTTTATTATGACGTATCAGCACGTTCTATCCAAGTGTCATTCGATGCCGCAAGCGATCTGTTTGAATCAGCAACAGTTGAGTTAATGGCTCGTCGTTTTCATTCACTGTTGAACCATATACTTTCCTCTCCTACTTCAACTGAAATCTGCGAATTGTCGCTATTCTTGCCACATGAAACCCAATTACTACAAAATTTGAACAGTAGTGAGCAAGTCCTACTCTCTTCGAATGTTCGAACCATCCAACAGCAATTTGCGCAGCAAACTTGCGAACATCCACAAAAGTTAGCAGTGATTCTCGACGATCAATCGTTAACCTATGCTGAACTATTTCATTCATCACTGCTAGTAGCTCATCATCTCCATGACCAAGTTCAGGTGCAATCAGGTGACATTATCGGTCAATGTGTCGAGCGCTCCATTGAAATGGTAAGTTAAACTCGCTTTCGATTTAAAGATAGTAACAAGTATTCTCTTAATATATCACAGATCATTGGCATATTGTCGATTCTGATGAGTGATGCTTCGTATTGTCCTCTACCTGCAGATCAGCCATCAGCACGACTTCAGTCGTTGATCGAACAAGTACAAGCTAAGTGTGTCCTCACTCACAGTCGAACCAACACACTTATATCATCAGATATTGTTGACATTGAACAAGTTCTTTCGTTATCATGGAATAAAATCATTACCTGCGATATTAAATCATATTCAGTAGAACGAATAGCTTACTTAGTTTTTACGAGTGGTTCTACTGGCAAACCGAAAGTGGTTCCAATCACTCACAAAAACTTTGCCGTATGTATCAATGCACTAGCTCACTCGTCGATCATGATGTACGATGATGTCGTGCTTCAAACAACACTACCTACATTCGATATTCACATGCAAGAAATTCTCGGCACATTATGGTTAGGAGGAACACTTGTTTTGCTTCACCAAAACGGTAATCTTGACATGCATTATTTCACATCTATTATCCAACGATATCAGATAACACTTCTAATCATGGTTCCAACTCTTATATCCGTTCTTACTCAATATCTGCAAAATTTTATGTGTCAACAACGTCCATTGATGAGCATACGACGATTATGTTCATTAGGTGAGGCTCTTTTACCACAAATAGCTTCTGCGATTTGCACGCTGTTGGATTCGACTGCTCTATTCTATAATTTGTATGGACCTGCCGAATGTACTCTCATCTCCACCTTTCATCTACTTACACAAGATGATTTGAAAGCGAATAACATACCTATTGGTCGTCCACTTCCTGACTATAAATGTCAAGTTCTTGACACCTACCTTCAACCTGTTCTTCTCGAACACCAAATTGGAGAATTGTTCATCGGTGGTGAGGCTGTATTTGGAGGATATTTAAACCAACGTGACTTGTCCCATGGACCAGGCATATTCTACAGAACTGGTGATCTGGTCCGTATCGATGGTACATCAGGTGTTTTACACTATGTTGGTCGCAAAGATTTTCAAGTGAAGTTGAGAGGACAACGCATTGAATTAGGTGAAATAGAGACTGTCATCATGCGGTCATCCACTGACATTACTAATTGTGTTGTCATCAAACTCGATCATGATCAGATCGAACATCTAGTTGCCTATGTTCAAACAAAAGTGCACTTCTGCCTAGATACGTTACGTGATGAATGCACGAAACACTTGCCTTTGTATATGGTACCATCGTTGTTTGTTCTTATCGACCATTTTCCCCTTAATCCAAATGGGAAATTAGATCGAAGAGCACTTCCACTTCCTGACTTCACTCTTCTCACGTCATCTGACTCGTTGGGACCTCATGAACCATCTACGAGCGAAATGGAACGACAAGTCTCATCGATTTGGTGTCAAGTGCTACATCTTGAATCGACTCCTTCCATCAACGTGAGTTTCTTCAAGTTAGGTGGTAATTCACTACTTCTGATGAAGCTGCATCATACCTATCAAACTCAACTCCATCAATCAGTCAATATAAGTGACTTGTTTCGTCGTGCCACTATTCACGATCACGCTCAACTACTTGAATCTAATCAAGTAATGATTCATCCGACATGGCATTCGTTTAACATTACCAAAGGTAAGTTATTTTCTAACCCTAGGAAAAATGTTGGAGCTTTCAGCCACTGAACCTTGCAGAAACAGACGGGGATCTGACAAGGGTTCATTGTTTTTGCTTGAGGAAACGCGATAATCCTGAAAGAAGTGTGTAGTCGCGATATTGCAGTATCCTGTCAAGTTTTCAGTTGAACGAATGACAGATAATAGCAGGATCATCACTGTTTCAATGCCAGGATGCGACCGAGAAATCAAAGAATCCTGGAAGAATTGTATAACCACCGAATTAAAGGATCTTTCCGGGATTGATCAAAATAAAAAGCAAAAAAACTAACCGATGATCCTATGCTATCGAGCGTTTTGGATTTTGCAAGAAAATAATGATATCGACCTTGCAAGATCTTGTCAGGACTTGTCTAGAATCAAACAGGATATATTACATATATTGTCAAGATTAGAAGTTACCGATATCTTGAGATGTTCTTGACAGGATCGTTGCCGGATATTCTCTTTCTCGTAGAGAAGAGTCCAGTAAATATAAACTGTCTGATTGCTTGCCTGTGTCTCCGCAGGGTAAAGAAAAACATCGACAATCGGTTTTTCGTAAAAGACATTTCCAGAGGTACTTCGATGCGGAGACTTCGAGTCTGATAATATTTTTTTAAATGTGTTTTTAAAAAGTATTGTTTTAGACGAAGAGGCCACTTTTCTCCAAAATTTTCTTTTCGCAAGGGCCGAGCGAGGTTTTTTAGGGTCGAGAAATTCGAATTTGGCGTTAGTTTTTTTAGGATTAAACTTTTTTTTCAAACAGAGGATACCGATTTTTTAGAACAAAACTGTATAACCGTATGATACCGGCTATAGTCACTTGTATAAGAATGGAAAATTAAACATTCTCTTTCACGTAGATAAGAGTCTTAGAAACAAATTGTTTGCTTACTTGCTTGTCTGCCCGTACTTCGCTGATTGGTCGAAAAACAAATTGAAACTATTAAATCAGATCTCTTCCTACAAAGTATGACCCAAGGATTTTTGGGGTCGAGGAACGTAAATATGATGTTAGCTTTTACACAGTGCACAAACAAAAGCCTCAGTGGCATTATTGGGCAAGATATCCACTAGAAAGAGCTGAGTGAGTCTCCAGACGAGCGTTACTTGTCTAAATAGAAGAGAACAAATATGAACACATAGAGATTTGAGCTCTAGAGTCTAGACTTCAGCGCAAGAACTAAACAGCTAATCCAGCTGGACTGTGTTCGCGTTTTCAAGTTCATTTGTAAATTCATGTTATGTGTAGACATCTTTTCGACTTGTCCTTTTGATCAACATCATTCCGTTATTAAGTTTGATATTTTTGCAATTCCTATTGTTTTTATTTAATAGACTTTTATCACTATCATAAAACATTTCGTTCATCGAAATATTTGTTGATGATTCATCAATTAATTTTTAATCATGGGCGCTATCCTCTTTAAAATATTTTGGAAAGTTCTTTCGACAGCTAATTCTAATAGACCAATTGATTTTTTTTTCCTGATTAAAATACCACGTTAAACTTTTTTAGTGTCATAAATTGTTTGAATTTAAATAGGTTTTTTTTGGTAACAAAGCTTTATTCGTGTAACAACACTACATAGACGAAAAAAACCAACGCTTAGTTGTTACACGAAAGCTGGAAACGTCAAACGAAAGAAAAAGAAGGATTCATGACTTTTGTCTTTTGTCCTAGCAGAAGAAGTGAGAAAGAAAACATGGAGAAAAATAAACACTTGTGTATGGTAGTAGTTTGCGTTGATGATGTGTCAAAAAAGAAGTTAGAGGGAAGAAAAAATGGAGAGAATGGAAAGAACATATACTACTTTGGACAATTTCGATTTCATCGACAGATAGATTGATTTATTCTCGTATTGAATATAAGAACGAGCGAAGAATTTGGTTACTGGTGAAAGAATCAGCAAAGACATTGACTCGATTCAATATTATATATCGGCAAGGCCAAGCGTTACGGAATTGCATTTTTTCTACTTTCGACACCTGTATATCCTCGTTAAAGACATAAAAAACTCACGAAATTTTTACTACAAGACTACATCACTTCAATCTACAATCGATGAAAATTTCATCAATTCATCTCTCATAGAAACGAACTTATCGAAGGAATACCGTCTGTTATGGAATTTCGAAAAAAGCGAGTGATGTCATAATATCATTACCGCGGGTATCCGTTTAAAAATCGACAACAGTATACTCAGAAACCGGAGGAATTTGAGTGAATTTGGTCGATACCCAACGGGTAACGAGATGGATACCCATGGCTATATCCGCAGAAGCTGAGGAATTTGAGTGAATTTGGTCGATACCCAACGGGTAACGAGATGGATACCCATGGTTATATCCGCAGAAGCTGAGGAATTTGAGTGAATTTGGTCGATACCCAACGGGTAACGAGATAGCAACTCGTCATGGTATCGCTAGCAGGAAGGGCAATGAGAATCTAGAAGGAAATTTAATTCGGTACTTTAAGCCTTATTTCTGAGCTAGAGTGAATAAAGGAACGTACCACTCGTCGCCGGATCACTTGTTGGAGTGAAAATTGGAAGAGGCTTTCGTACACGTACCGACCTTTCTCCCAAAACTCTAATGTTGTGATGCGCCTACTGACTACACCCTCCCCCACCCCCCCATGTTGTGATGCCCC